GTTAGAGAGTGCAGATACTTTAGTGTGTATGATTGTAGCCCATTCTATATCATCGGAGATGTCGGTGGCTAGTAGTTCTTTGATGGATCCAAGTCAACTTGCTATAAATTTTTCAAAGGTAATATACCATTTGCGTGAATTAAATATTTGAAACAGAAGAAATTAAAATAAATACTACCTTTATCATTTTAATAGGATAATAACTTGCGTAATATCTCCAAAATTTAGCCCTCCTAGCGAATTCAAATCTTCTACCTCCATTTTCTGGTGCGATATCGAAAAGTATAAAGAATAAATATGGAATAATTAAAGGCCATAAGAAAATTATTGTACATAATATAAGGAAAATAAATATTGTTAAAGGTAATGAAACGATCCAAAGACAGACGGTCGCTGTTTGAATTCGTCTTTCAAATGGCACATTTAGAGGTGCTAATCGAATTTTTGGACTGTTTACCATTATTATTTAGTAATAATGCCCAAAACTGACACTTTGATGAATGAAAGTGTTTTTTTTTTTTCCTATTATTAATTATCGTTATTGTAATAACATTAAAAGTTTTTTTTGAATATATATTTTTCATGATTTTTATTGATCTCCATATTCGTCCCAAAAGAGTTCAAAAGCAAATGATTTTCACGCGCTTTTGATATACATACTCTCCCACGGTAATATAATATCGACATTGAATGCAAGGTTTCTTAAAAACCGGATTTATTTGGATACAGGCTGTCAATCCGTTACGTACTAGGTTAATGGAAATTATTAATTATAGTTGGTGATCTGACAATAAGAATAACAAATCAATATCCAGAATTTGCTAATAGACTAACTGTAGAAATTGTACGTACGTACTTGTTGAGAAAATTTCTACTCAGGGTATTATAAATTGACCAGATTTATCCGGGTACAATAACTAAAGACGGGAATTTGGTGTCCTTATTTATATATTAGTGGATAGGATTTACCTATACTACCGGTAGTATATTATACTACATTGTGATACAATATCTTTTAAAGCTAATTATATATCCACTAATTTAACAAATTAATAATATCAAGTTTACTAAAAATGTACCTATGGTGTTCAACACCATAGGTCCCTATTTCTCGAAAATGTACTGGATCGGGTATTCTAAGTAAAAATGTTCAAACCCCAAAAACCTCACGAGAACTAAAATTGGGACCTTATATCTAATATATATTATAATACCGGATATATAAAAAATAAAAATATACCCTAACCCTAAATTTTATTAAAAAAATTATGTATGGTGCTAAACACCATAGGTACATTTTATATAATTGTTAAACATTTGATAAAGTATTTTATATATGTAGTATATATATTTAAAATTTAGTAATTCCAAACATTTTTTAAACAAGTTTACTAAAATGCATCTATGGTTTTCAACACCATAGGTCCCTATTTCTCAAAAGCGTACTAAGTAAACGGGATCGGGTATTCTAAGTAAAAATGTTTAGGACCCCCAAAAACCTCATGGGAACTAAAATTGGGACCTTATATTTTATTAAAAACAATTATATATGGTGCTAAACACCATAGGTGCATTTTATAATAATTCTTTTCAAAATTTTATAGAAATTTTTTTACAATTATTATAAAATGCACCTATGATATTTAGCACCATATATAATTGTTTTTAATAAAATTTAGGGTTAGAGTGTATTTTTATGATTTTTTTTTTATATATTATAATCAGTGTTGGCTTAACCAAACCAGTTTGACCATTAGACCAGACCAATTTGACTGGTCTGGTTAAAGGATCTGTGTCGGTCAAATCGGTCAAATAGTATATTTAAATATAATTTCATTATATAATATATATATTATATGTATTTATATAATAGATTTGATCAATCTGACCACTTTAACTATTTAACCAATTTGACCAAACTAATTTGACCAATAAATTTTTGGTTAACTACTAATTTGTCTAATACTAATTATAATATATATTAGATATAAAATTCCAATATTAATTCTCATAAAGTTTTGGAAAACATTTTTATTTAAAATATCTGATCCTATTTACTTAATATATTTTTAAAAAATAAAAATCTATAGTGTTGAATACTATAGGTATATTTTAGTAATCTTGCTTTTTTATATTTAAAATTTTTACTAAAAATACTATATAAAATTTTTTAAAATTTATATTTAAAAATTAGATATAATTTTTTAAAATTTAATTTAAAATAAAAATTAACTTATATTTACTACAAATAATTATTATCTGTAATTTACAAAAATAATTAATTTTTATTAAACCAAAAAATTAACCTCTTTAAGATTAGAGGGTTAAAGTTAAAATAATACTTTATATATAGTAAAATTCAGCAAAAAAATTTTTTTTGTTAAAGCTTAAAGATGGTTTCATAGACAAAATTTTAAAATATAAGTATTTTTTTTAAAAATTCTTTGGTTTTGTTATACAAAATTGATTTATATATTAGGCTATACAACTTAATAATTCGGTTTTTATAACATAAAATTTTTAAAAGTAACCTGGCAACCTGGCTTTTAATTTTATTTTCAAAAAATTTTATATATAAAAAACATATAAAATTTTTATAGATTTTTTTTAAAAAACTCACTTGGATAATAAATATACTTAAAATTTTTTTAAAAAAATTTGTAAGTTTTGACTCGGCCAGATTATGAAAACCAAATCATTAAGTTTGTATAGCCTTATATCTAATCCTAAATTTTAATTGGCAAATTGATTATAAATGATAATTACCTATAGTATAAATTAGAAATATTTTAAAATAAATTAATTTTATATTAAAAAACTTTTGAAATTAAAATTAAAAGATAAAAATTTATAACTTTAATTAAAAATTTTAAAAAATTTAATTAATAAATTTTCAAGTTTACTAAAATGTATTTATGGTATTTAATACTATAGATTTCTATTTTTTAAAAACATACTAAGTAAACAAGATTGTATATTTTACAGTAAATAAAAATATTTAGAGGTCTTATCTTTAATACATATTAAAAAAAAAAAATAAAAAAAAATATTTAGTATTACAAAAACTAAAATTAGGACCTTATATTTAATACATATTATAATGTATAAAAAAAAAATCATAAAAATATACTCTAACTCTAAATTTTATTAAAAACAATTATATAAAAAAAACTTTCCCTATAGATCACTTTTACCAAATTGGAACAAGAAGAAAAAATTTTTCTGCAACAATATCTTGAAAACCTACTAAGTAAATTGATATCTAGCTTCTAAGTAAAGTTATTTAGCACTCATAAAAGTATCTAAAAAAAATGTATTTTCTAAAGAAAAATCTCACCCCATCAAGCTACTAGCAATAAATATCTTAAACAGCAAAAAATTAGTTTTTTTGCTCTTCTGCAAAAGTGGTTTTAAGAACCCCAAGATTTTAGCAGTCCAGAACAAAATACTATCAACCTTTTACACAAAAACATCAATAAATACCAAATAACTCATCTTGCTAAACCTGCCTCCTTCTGAAAATATGACTTCAGAAAGCTCCTTCAGCCTCTTTGGTTTTTTTTCTACATCCCGTAAGCCTGCACAACCAAGTAACAATCCAACTAGCACAAAGCCACCAACTCTAGAAATGGAACATACAAAAAATTTCATTGAAATTACTATAAAGGACTGAACTAAACTCACCTTTACTGTTAGCTTCTCTATCCCCGAGCATGCCAATAACTTTTTCTTCTATATCAATATTACCAAATCAGGACAAATTCCAAACTTGGCAAACTACCCTTCACAATAGATCTGCAAACACGAAGATATTATCCAATTAGTCCTTTTTGACCTTACAGTATACAAAAACAACATTATTAATATTAGTACTAAACTCCCTAAATCAACTCGCACTTATAACCTTAATACAACTATACATATATATAAAAACAACATAAAACTATACACCAAAGCCAAAAGGATTTCAGATCTGCCAAGAATCCTATACAACTCCATCACACAAATTGAGTCTGATAACAAATCTAACAAAAGTAGTAGCAAATACAATTTATACTCATTACTTTCTCAAAAACTAGTATTACTATATGACTTAGTTAGTAACCCAACAAACAACAGCACTATTACAAACAATAACACAAATCAAAACACAAACTCACACCCAACTACTACTACCACTACACCTCTGACCAATATATCCAGTAATACTAACACTATCAAGCACACCACACCCAGACCCAGTATACCCTCTAATCAAATCATTATACCCAATGCTAGTACTAATCACAAAAGAGCTAGAAACATATCACTACTAATCACAACCTTCAACAAGACTATCAAAGTGCTCCCAGGCAGTTTCTCTGCCACCTCTAGACCTTCTGTTGGTAACCAAGTTCCTACAACCAAATTATCATATAGTCAAGTTATTAAGACCAATCTCAAACTACTAGCCACCGACATCTCCGATGATATAGAATGGGCTACAATCATACACACTAAAGTATCTGCACTCTCTAAC